TCGATCAATAAAAAAGGCATGACAACACCTCGAATAAAAGAATCTGACATTTTATATTCTGCAACAATCCTTAAACTGGTGGCACTATATTTTATGAACGAACTAATCAGATAGTGTCTGTTTCACTTCTGTACAGAATTTATCCAACATTACGGCTACAAAGCAGTTTCGCATTGTGACTGATATTAGTTCGTGATGAAAACCATTGAACCTAAACTTAACCAAGAACATTGTAGAGACTATTATAAGTCTGTTGGGTACATATAAAGCGTCGAGAAAACGGGAAATCTTATGTTAATAGGGATAAGTTTATTACTCAGTATCTATACAATTTAAAAGGAAAGAAATATGTAGAAAACTAAAAGATTGATTAAATAGGTAAAATCTGTTTACATTTAGTAATATCACTGTTTCCTTTCCCATAAACTATCTACATACAAAAACCCTCCTGATTGGCTGAAGATTCTTCGCGGTTGTTTTAAGTTCGTCAGTACACCAAATTCTTACTGGAAACCATGTGAACCATATTACATTGGATAAAATAAACCAATATTATTATTAGATTCAAGGTGGGAACAAACTATTTTTAAACACATACATGAGAACTTGATTCTTTGATAAACTACCTCTTATTGCATTACCCAAATTTATCGAAATGGATTAACTGATTTTAAATGAATAAATTGTCATAATTTAAATGAATATTGTCAGTAATGGGTTGCGGAAATTGTTGGATTTCTTTGATACCATGACATGGACTGATTGAAGTTAGACATTAACACTGTTGAATGCCAACTTAGTCTTCTAGAGATTAAGTGTTCGCATCAGAGATTGAAGGTCCTGGGTTGGGTCGCCGCTTACAGTATCATGAATGTTCACTTCTGAGGAGACCTGTACAAGGACGAAACGGCAGTCCAACGCTACCAGGTTCTAAGTGGAGGTTTAGCTCAAATCGGTTGATGATTTTAATGAAATTTAACTGTAAATTTAGTGTTTCTGACTGAAATAAATATAATAATGCGTATGAACTTCATATTCATTCAGTTTTTGGCTTAATGTACACAATTCAACTAAGTATAATAACACCAATAACAATTTGTTTAATAACCAACTATAATTTTGAGTGATATTGACGTCACACAATCTGTTATCGTCATCAATTCACATTCATTGAATTGCTACACTGAAGTGGACACATTTTATGCGGGATAAATTAAATATGAATAGATTCATTTTAAATCTAAAATTAACAAATCACCCAACCAATAAATACTTCAGCATTTATTCGCTTTTATTTAGACTTGACGTTAGAATCGAAATATATTTATTCGATAGTGATACAGGTAAGTAGTGTGTATCCACCAAAAGATTGATTAAATATCAATGAATAAAAAGCAATCAATATTATCATAACTGATGTAGACAATCGCTTGAAGTGTGTACAGTAAACAAAGGTAATTCATATAGAGTAGATTGAATATGGCTAGCGGTGGAATTCAGGATGTACGATTTTTCCTATTTGGGACACGTTAGTTGTATTTACATGCATCCCAGAGTTGATATTTACTACGCGATTCAAATACAATACATTTGATTTAAAATATCAACAAGTTATTCATTCAGCTACTGGGTCCAAATAACATTTTGAAGTTTGGAGCTTAAGATGTTGCATTCGAAACCAGAGGTGGAAATCAACTCCGATATCCAGGTAAATCCAGCCGATAAGTTGCAAAGAGAAGGGAACGCGCATCCTGGCCATATTCTATTCATTCTATATCAAACTATGTCATAATGGTTATATCGATGTAATCTGCATAGAATGCACATATGACAACTAAGACTGACAAAAATTTAGTTAAACTATCAACGAGATAATTCAAATACTACGCTTCACATCGAAACTGTTCATGGTTTTGTATTTACTTGATGACAAGTAGGATATTTAAAGCTTTCATAGTCAGCTAAACAAGTTAATTCACATTGGACTGGATAGGTTCGTCCCCTTAAATACTGTAATATGAGAAAGATCAACTATTAAGTTAAAAAGTATCTAATATTTCATTGTGAACAGCTGGCGTTGAGTTTACGATTCTACTAATATGAGATGTAAAGTTTATCAAAACATATAATATCATGTTCCTATCAGAGGAAATAAGACTTACAAAACTCGGTCTCAGAATATTAACACTATTTCTAGATGCAAGGGAAGCTGATGAAACTCTATAGAATAAAGTTGACAATCATTTACGTTCTGTTCAAGTTTACAGTTTGTCAAAAATTTAGTGAACATCTATTAACCGTAGTTCCGATGATAATAAGTAATAGTTCTACCGAGATGTAAAACCTGATAGATAATGATTTGATAAAATTGAGTGACGAACACGGTTAGTGAGAACATGGATGTCCATGTAAAAATAAAGTAGACAGACGTATAACAATCGTTGCTTTTCTATAGCTATCAAATACCAAGTAATAGCAACTAACGGGAAGAGAGTACAACAAATGAATAAAACCTGTCAGTAGAAACAATTAAACAATAAATATTACTATTGGATGGGATCGCAAGGTAACAAACACTGTTAGATGGATAACTATAGTAAGATAAAAACCACTTAGATGTCTTAAATCCACTTGACGGTCAGACACAAGGCCGAACGAATGGAGAAAGCTTAGTTAGAGAATAAATTCCATCCCTTGGTTATTAAAAAACAGTACTGGAAATTACCATCACAAACCAAAGGTATTTTATATACTTTAAATAATTAACACTGATAAAAGTGGACCAACAAGACACAATGATAAATGTTGTCAAGTTTAATCGAGGAAACCATGTAAATCACCATTTTGTGAAATACTACATAGAAGACTAAAATATTGCGTCAAATTAAAGAGAATAGTATCAAATCCCAATAAATAAACAATATGAAATATGGTATAGTCTTTGTACATTAAAAAAACACAATATGACTTAAGCGATTAGACAGTTAGGCATCCTAAAAGTGTGAATGCTTTTTTTGATCAATCTAGACTAATCGAGAATTCTACGAAACAATATAAACATGATAATCAACACGCTATGATCATCATGAACTCGAATGATTTAGTATTTACAGGAGAATGTATTTATTTTGAAAAATAAGTAATTGGATCACTTTATTATTTCTTTTTTCAAACAATATTGATAGTAAATATGGGCAATTTTTGCCTCATTTTGAAAAAAAAGATTGTCAGAGAATCTGGTGTACTCATAATAATCGTGGTAGTGATGATAGATCAGCAGAAGTAGTAACAATAAGTATTATTATAATAATTATTATTTTGACAATAACGATGGCAATATCAACCACAAACACACACACACACAAAATAAACAATAGACAAATACAAATATGGATATTTTCTTGTGTAGTGTTTTTTTTTGATCGATTGATTAATTTAGAATGATAATCACCACAAGGACAAAATAGATCACAGACAAATTACAAACAGAAAACAATGTGTTATATAACAAATAGTAATAATAGTAATAATGGTAATGATAACAGTAATAGATTCAGAAACCAGTTAAAGTAAATGAATGTTTTTGATGTGTACAATCCACATATGTAGAGAGAACAGCTGCATCATTTTGTACGGACATCCATATTAAGAGATGTCATCGATAAAATAACTTCTCTTTTGATAAGACATGTAGTCATGTAGCTAAGAAAAATATCCACTGGAAATTAATACTTACATGGATGTAAAAATAGATGGTTGTGTATTGTAGAGGGAGGGCATGTTGAGTGTACGAAACAATTATTACAAACAAGACGATCAACTAGACCAACCATGAAATAATAACAGATGCATTTTAACTATAACACATGGCTAAGGAATTTCTTGAATACTTATTCATGTTCATACATTATTATTACATGAGACGACTGAGAGTTAATGTCTTAATCGAATAAACCTTCCCAATTAGTCTAGAATACTGATGATAAGCAGATTACAGAAAATGTAAATAGAGAACAAAGCCGCTTAGAAAATCAGTCATATTTCAAGGGTGAATATACATATTCGTAAGACTTAATTGACGATCTTCATGACTGTAAAAAAATAATGACTAAAAAAGTATTCATGTTAATGAAACAGAGAAGCTTTCGGAAAGAGAACAGAGCTCAATACAAACAATACTGGAGATTTGTGACAGATACTGAGAGCGGTACGTGTGTGCAAGCAAGAATTTCCGATTCACAACACATCCGTTTGTTATTTGCAGTAACATTAGTATTTGTTTTGTATTGAATATTTAATACAGACACACAGACCCAGAGATTTTTGTACAAGAAATAAAGATCCAACATAGGAGCAACGATGAAAGACAAAAGAAAAAGAAAACAAGGAGGGTGCAAATAGAGATTAACACAACTCGGTAATGTTAAATAGAAATACACAAACATATAGAGACAAATAATTACAGTACACCCATCACCGGGTTGAATTTTTTTGTTTTCCAGTGTTACTTATTCATGTCACTCCTTTTTCTTCTGTTTGCAATGAATCATGACATTGATAAACATTTTTTCCGCTAATAAATTCACTATTTCGTGGAATTAAATTTTGTATTCGAACAATTATAATCTATGAAAATTAAATCGATTATGTTACTTGCATTTTCATCACATATATGTGTACAATCAGTAAATGCGTATTATTATATGAATGAGTATGAAACAAAGTTGAACAAAACAGGTTATTCTGTTTATGTATTTTATCGACAGACAATATATGAATACGACAACACAAACAGCAAAATAAAAGAAAATAATACAAAATTACTCTATAATTGATGAAAACATACATCAGTGTGAACCTACACATATACATGAACACACCAACATATAAAACAGTATGTAGATAACAACAGTTTGCATAGAACAGAACAATTTCAATGAAGTACATAAACACAGTTTTTTTTAAAAGCTGATTTAAACATTATAGTCTCATACAATTAATCATTCAGTTGATGATGATTCGTCACACTCTGTACGCAAGTCCAATTTCAATTCATTTGTTTTTTCTTCTACAATGTTATCACTGGTAGGATCATTATCTGTGTCAAATGTTGACTTTGTTGATGAAAAGATTTCAGTAGAATTACAATTAGAATTTGTTGATGAAAATTTAGCAACATTCAGAGGAATCATAGAAAGATCAGATGATGATTTATTATGCTTGTAAAAACAAAAACAATTTTTTGAATAAGATTCACTTCTTGAAATTACAGGAAAAAGCTGTGTACCAAAATAAATTTTATCTAGAACAAGATTTTGTTTTTCAGCGAACCATTCCAAACTTAAAGATGAACGATTAAAATGGTAATAATAATAATAATACATAAGATAGCGTAACAGTTCTCCGATAAGATTCAAAGTTTGAAAATGTTCATGAGACATAAGACATATAGTGGAACCACTTACAACTTGATATAAAATGCGTAAATAATTGATTTTTAAAGAAATTTCATGCTCTGCAAAATGATTCGCTAAAAAAGCTTCTAATTTAACTTTTTGACTGGATAAATCTTGAAAATCAATAAAAAATCTGGAACTCATGTATTTTTCAAGTGTATATACGTCAACTCCTTCAGCAGGTTTATATCCACTAACCAGAAGTCGACAGTATTTCAAAAGACCACCTCCACGAATCATTTCTGGTTCAGTGGTTGCAATTAGTTTATTCTCTAAGTGATAAAATGCTTCTGAAAACGATCCAGACACTGATTCAGCAACAATTGTCGGATAAAAGTGTGGAGTTATGCTTTTTCCTGAATTGGATTCATAAAATGTTAACAAAGGATCTAAAACTATTTGAAAACTATCAACAGTAAATTCAAACTGACGTTTCATTCGATCAACAAATTTGAATTCAATTACTTTTGAATCGGAAGAAGGGAAACCAAGGGATAAAAGTGACCAACAATCATCATCTTGACTAAATTTACGGAACTGTTTGTACACATATGACTCGCGTAAACTAAATCCATCTGAATGGCTAGAACTATTAGGAGCAGAAGCAGAACTTTGAATACTGTACACAGCGTTTACATTAAGAGTGTTGAATGGGGAATGAGTATTGTAGATAGATTGCTGCCCTGGATGCATAAAGGATAAAGGAGAGAAATATATAGGTTTAGGATTATTCCGTTGTCTTTGACAGGAACACTCAACAATGTTGGGACGCGAGATACCAAGCGTCTGAACACCACATTGATTCTGAGTGATATCGTTCATGCGTTTAAGTTCAACAGGTTTATCAAATTCTGTTTCAGTAGAATTCGAATTTATAGTATTGTTCACTTTCACATTGTCAATATGCCTCAACTCCGTAGAACTGAAATGACTCTTAATTGTTACAGGTGACATTTCTTGACCACGTCCTGGTACTGTTGGAACATTATCGTCAGATTGAAGATCACAACTTGAGTTAATTTGAGGTTGACTGGGAATATTATGCTGCTGAGAGGGTTCTGTTATTTTGTCTTCTGGTAAGAAACTTATCAACGCATTCAGCACAGCTGATTTCACTTTTTGAAATGTTGAACTATTTGAGCTTAAATCAACAGATATCAAAACATCTATATCATTATAGACGGGATAATCTTCTTGTCCTGGGTAAAATGAAAAATGAAATTACCATAGAATTAATCTGACAAGACAAATAATATTAATGATAACTGCAATTATAGGTTGGTCAATTTCAATGAAATGTTTAAAAAACCCTATTACGAATTAAACTTTATTTCGAACTATTTTATTGTAGCCTAAGTAAAAAAACAGAATGCTTTTTTATTAAACCATCGAAACATTGTGTTGATTACAGAAAATGTAAACATAAGGTTCTCTTATGCCTAAGCACGAATGTTATGACCAATAACGTACATGTGGATTGTGCTCTTGAAATTGAGCAGAAATATATATTCGGACAAAAGGGTATCCGGTAAATGATTATTTGCTTACCAAAGACTAGCTCTAAAAGGAAATTTCCAGTCTTAGTGAGATGTGACCAATCGGGTTCGACTGAGTCGGGTGTGAGGTAGTTACTCATCAAAGACAATGGAAGACGGTCGTGAAATTTCGTGCATGGATTGAAGTTAGACACCAACCCCGTCTAGAGTTCAAGTGTTCGTGCGCGGGAACGAAGGTCCTATGCTCGATTCCCGTTCGTGGATCGTGGATGTGCACTACAGAGGAGTTCCATAATAAAACAAAATGACCGCCCAGTGCATCCAGGTTTTAAATGGTTATCTAATTTGAATCGATCGGTGATCTCAAATTCAATAATCTCTCCAAACCTATAGTGAGGAGAGGCAATCTTCTTTCCACAGATTAACATAGGCTCATCTAGAGGCCCATTAAATGAAGATAGGTTGGACAGCTGTATGAACAAAAGCTGTAGTGCAGCTGAGAATATCTACACTATGAGAAAGGTCAACGAGCACGTGAACATTTTGACAGTGACTACAATTAATAGTGATTAGATGTTTTTGTGATAGCTGAAAAACAAACATTCAGAATGTTCTAAATCCTTTAGGTTAGACGACAGTGTCTTAGTGTCATATAGCAACATCAAAAATACGCACGGAAATTGAGTTTTCACAAACAAAATATGAACAGAAGAAACGTCTAATTTGGTCAAGTTATGAAATAGAATAATTTTGATTTCATGGAACATTCTTTAGGAACACTCGTGAAAATAATATTATACTTGTTTCTGATGTAAAACACAGTCCTATAGGACATACAAGCAGTTAGTCATAAACAAAGGGCCAGTGTCTGTTCAGGTTGCCAAACCACATCTACACAAAGAGATGTAATTAACAAGATATATTTCAAAGGAAACAAAATAGTACTATCGATGATGGTACAAAGCACAAATCGCTGTGCACATGGTTCGAGAAGGAATGAGACGAAGGTATTTATGAATAATAAAAATCAGGATCTAATGGAAGACAAAAGGTAAATACATCAGTTTCACTGAGATAAATTCTTGGTAGTCAATCCAAGTCTTTACTGATCCTGGTTATCAGATGAACACCTCTAAGACCGATAAGATAAGAAAAGCGGTCGGTGAGTCCGAATAACAACCGTACTCACTCGGTACAATATCCAACGGTGTAAAACCAAGAAACACTTGGGATCTGGAGGAAAAAATGTGTCTTTATTGTTGTTCAAGATGTTCGCGAGACTACTTTTAGCTAGCGAACTCATTTAAGAGGAATGTATCACCTCTGTAATACACCATGGTGACAAGTGAGTTTCCAGAAAGGGGGTTAATCTTTGAAAAATTAGATGAGAACGATGCTATTCTAAATATATGGAATTAAATTAAAATGGACAGTGGACAACTCTGACAAGCACCATATGAGGTTGCTAACTTAGATGACAGCCTGAAACAATTTCTGACTCAACCAACAGTGGCCGAGTAAAATGTATTTACAAGGTTTATGTACTTTATTATACATTGTAACGCCCACTACCTCCACAAAACTTGGCCGGCATATTTCAGTGCTGGTTCAGAATTAAATAACAAAACCCTAAATGCCCTGGTATGGCCGAGAGTGGGGTGGTCCCCCCCTCCCTTTCGAAATGCTCTCACACGGTCACGCGTATTCAGCCTCTGCCAGAGAAGTCCTACTCACTGCCTATTCGTGGCGGGGGTGTTGTTTACGAAATTGAGAGGACGAAAAGCGAATGTCCGGCGCTTTAACCGGATCCCAAACCAATGGTGCACATGGGCTCCAGTATCCTGAAGGAGCAAATGGTGTATGAACCAATCGTTGGTCACCGGCTACCATGGGACTGCATCTCCTCACGATGCTCCTCTCCCTTAAGGGTCAGACCTTTAGGTCAAAGGCTCGGGGTGTGGCTCCCTAAGAAAACCACCTGCTTCGGTCTGGGTACCCGGGCAGTATCACAGCCCACTCACATATGATGAAGTGTCGATATTTATGGAAAATACTTGTCTTGCTTCGATCAACAATCAAACGATTCATATTATTATTATTATTATTATTATTTATTATTATTACAATTGTTATTATTTTTTAAAGTCATTTATTCACTCTCTTTTATTCCCACCTTATGTATCCTTATTTTTCAACTTATACAGCAGCTCACCTATGATGAAAACTCGGTTCCATCTAAACGTTCTCGAGTCACTGCCTGGTTGAAAATTGTATGCTACCACCAAATACGAATACTGAAGCAGTTTTTCTGAAACCACGTGCACCATTCAAACTGAATGCCTTCAACGTTCGCACCCTTATGCAGGTCGGACAACAGTTAGGGCTGGCTATGTCTTAGGAAAGTCTTAATATCGACGTTTGTTGTCTATCCGAGACCCGTATTCAAGACTCTAGTGAAGTTCTACAAATTTGCTCTCCATCTGTCGCTTCAAAAAGCTTTCATATGGCGCATATATATTTGGTGCCCTCTAGCACCAATATTTATGTGTTCAAATAAAAATAAAATAATAAAAAACTGTATTAGGATGTTGGTAATTCTGCCACTGATCATGTCTATAGAAGCGCATGTTTTAGTTACTTAAATTGATTCCTCTTGGATTTCGATAAGAGGAATTTTTCATAGACTGAGACGAATAATGGTAAAAACCAGTGAGATCGGATTACTTCTAGCTCCTAGACTTTAACTAGCAATTAGGTTAACTTAACTATTAAGACAGAACCATCAACCTACAATGTCGTGGTAACTCTGCACAACAGGGATATAAGTTCCGAGGATTTGAAAATAATCGATAACTGGAGGTCGGTTGATCTGATTCTCAATGTTACACCCGTTTCTACAATCATCTTAACTAAGAGTGAACGACAGTTCCATCTTTTTCTGAAACAGTTCAACTAATAGCCGAATTTTCAATACATGCTTCCTGGATGAGTTTGTATAGTCGTCTAGTGTTAACTATCGCCACAGTATGAGACTGAGTTCAACTGAAATGCTTCATTTATTGTTTCACACTTAGTTCAATAAAGTGTTACAATGTCACCTGACTAAAAACTCACTAAAGTCCATGTACAAGAAAAAAATATAGAATTTTTTAGTCAGTGTATGGGATTAACAACTGAAAGTTGTGAATAAAGAAATCCTAAGCAATTAGACTAAAATTCCTCATCTAATGTATGTAATAGTACGACAGAGACAGTAAAAATCACAAATGACGAAAAAGCATTAAATTTCTGATGATTAAGTGTTCGCTAATAACAGATGACTAAATTAACACGTCACTGACGACTGAAAAGTGTGAGTGGAACATCAACCTCATGTCATAACATTCAGTATGTAAATGCAACACTTGTTTTGAAGTAAATATCCCCTAAATACGAGTTCACACATTGAAAATGTGGCCAACATTTTCTATAAGTAAATGACTAGATAGTTCCCAAGCTTATTGCCAGTTGTAGAAAAAGAACCAGTTAGAAATATTTATCGGTCCAACTTATTTTGTATTAATGCAGAGAGGAAATAAACTAGAAGAAAACAGCAGAATTAACAATACTCATTATAGTGGCAAACCAAACATAGTAAATTCGGTTCAGAATTAACAAATAAAACGATCGAATAAAAGGTAGGGTGAAAGATAAAAATAGATGTGCCCAGGTCACCATGACCGAATTGGAGCCAATTCATACAAAATTTCCAATTTCGGGCAACGGTTATTACGCCAAGCCCCAAATTAGCAGTCTGAACTTAACGACACAGCTTGAATCAACGGACTGATGTAGCATCTTGATTTGGTCACCAATAGGATACCTTTTAATTTATCCCCATGTTGTCTACTACTGTGCAGTCGAGCAGGTGGTGGCTGGGCATGCAAAGTATACGTCTTAACTATACTAATCGATGAATGCTGTGAAACTTATGAATCGACTTGCCATCTTTACCCAGTACTCGGCATCTAGTCATAATGTTAACCACTTAACAGATCTAGTTACTACATGAAGCCAAATCTAATAGGCAATTAACAATTACTAATATCAGGTGAGCTGTAAATTAGTGCATAGAAAGGATAACTAAATGCTTCATTTCTCAACAATTTAAACCACAAAAATTATACCGCAGCTTCACTCTAATGATTGACACAGATGTATGTGAAAAAAACACAAAAATGCAATCAAAGGCAATATATTTATGTGCAGGACTAATGCTGACCTGATGACTACCGAATCGTTACCATTCCCGTTTGGAACTTCCAACTTTTCACCACAAAATTTGACAATAAACATCAATAATTCATCACGAAATAATTGTGGAAACAAGTTAAATTGAAGATAATAAAAAAAACAATGTTATATGGGGATCGAAAAAGTATCGAAACATGTTGAGAATAAAAAATGGTAGTGGAAGGTGGAAAAAAGAGTAAATATATCAAGAATTGATAGCCATTTCGATCTAATAGTAAAATTGCAAATTGAAGGACACTGAAACAACTGTTCTGAACAATTTTTTTGTTTGGAATGAAAGAGATAACTTGAAGGTATGAACATTTACCGCAAAATTACATAAACGACAGATTGGTCCAGTAAAGTATTAATTTAAGCTTCAGAAAACGTAGAAAAAATTCTATATCAGCATATATCTTCATCAAAGAATT